CCCCAAAACCCCAAAACCCCAAAACCCCAAAACCCCTTTGGGGGAGATTTTTATTGAAGGATGTTTAGGGGGTGGTTAGTAGGTTATAGAAGCTCTAGTTGATTTGGGCTTTCTTTTAGAAGGGTCCTTTAGCATTACATTTTTCCATTGCTCGACTTTTCTAGAGAATTGAGTTGAGTGGCTTACTGACTGAAAAGTGCGCGATCTATTGATTGTTGACGCTTGTACCTGAAGAGCTTGATTAATAGAGCAGCCATGATAGATTGTTTGAGGGACTTTTTGGCACCCTTTTGGCCGAACATTTGCATTGTCAAGCTATTTCTAATCTTCTGCTTTGCCTCGGGTTTTTGGGGCTGAAGGAATTCATAATCTAGCTTACCGATGGCTTCAGGTTGGTGCCTGAACTGTTTGCAATTGAGATTATTGGAAGATCTCTGTCAGAAGAAAATGGACGGGAACAGCTTTGGCTCAAAATTGATGGCTGTAGGATCATAGAGGAAATTTACTGGTCGAGGACCTTCGTGCACATTCTTGTTATTTGATTGTATAAAATATTTCTCAAATGAAGTATGGCCTACTTCGGATGGAGAAATCTTCAATTTATTCGAGAAGAACCTCATGCCGCTCTGACCGAATCTCTCCCTAGATGTTATTAGATCAGAGAAAGCAAAGTTTTGTGAGCATTTAGGTTCTGAAAAGGGTTCATAGGAAGATATTTGAGATATATGGGGAGGATAAAGTAACCTTACCCTCTGAGAGTCATACCAGGCTGGAAATTTGACACCTCATCAAGTTTTAGAGTGGCCTTTATGGCTTTATTTGGGTCTTTTTATTGAGAAATTTTGGTAATTGATGTTCATTGAACTTCTTCTTTTGTCTATTACTGTTATTAATTCTAGGTTACTTATAAGACTATATCCTAGCCTTAGCTCATTCGGAATGCCTTTACATATCTTCCCTGGTTTATACTCTAATTTAATAAAGCTTAAGTGTGCATGCTTAAAGAAATATTCAGAAGTGTTATGAGTAGATATAAAATAAAATTCTAGTAACACTTATCACCTCATAAATTAATAACATCCTCGCCACATCTCAATGTATTAAGGTATTATCTCGATTGTTGGAAAAATTTTGAGGGATAAATTTCCCATACCCACAAAGATTAAAAAATAACTTTCTTAAGAGCATTATCAACATATTGCGACTACTGAGAGAAGATGATGTTTCCAAAATCTTAAAAATTAGATGATTCTACAAGGATTTCATAATTACTTTCTGAGAACTTAGCTGCTTTCATCTTGAATTTGTTATTATAATTGAGAAAGCTCAAGCCTGGCTTTCTTGCCTGCTTGGATCTATGTGAGTTAGCCTTTCTATTCATTTTATCTATAGCAAGGTTTAAGATATTTCTAAAGCTGTTTTGAATGTCTAAAGAGACCGACTAGGTTAATGTAACATTTTGAACCTCTTACTCATTTTCAGCATGATGTATGAGGAAAAGTCTGCAATTTGAGGACTCTGGTCTATGCCATTAGGGTTTGAGTAGTAAGAATGATCCATTTGTAATAGAATTTAATATTATTATTTTGAAACAATTGGGCATATATTAACCGGGGTTTTGGGGTTTTGGGGTTTTGGGGAGAT